GCGAGTGCCAGATGGGAAATGGAGCATGGGGCTGCTAAGCAAGGGGACTGGAAAGAGCAGCTACGGTCAGACCTGAGGAAGAGTCAGGTGGGTGTCTGGGAATAACTAGGAGAGAAAACCAAGAATTTCCATGGGACAAAGACTACAGGAAAAGACAAAGGAAAGACTGGGAATGAGATGAGTCTGGTCCTGGGACAATGTCACAGCGGGAAGCTGCGAAGCAGGAGTCAGGATCAGGTAGGACACAGGTAATGTAGTTGGGGCGTAACGGCTGATGCTGGGGGCAGGATCAGTAAAGCCCACAGTAACTCCAGCCTTCTCCTGCCAGCACCAGGAGTGGATCTCAGGTTGCTGACAGCCACGGGCATTCATGAAACCTCCTGGCAAAGAGTTTCTCTTGTCCCACTGCAGATCCAGCTCCCCTTAAGGAAGGTGACCCACTACTATCAGGTCCCATCAGCTGAAGCAGCAGAAAGCTGTACAATGGAGTACAAGTGAGTGACAATGCAAATGATCCATGCAAGGACCAGTATCACCCTGTGTAATAAAACTGTTTGTTTTTTCAGTGGACTGAACCTTCTCTCCCAGCATTTACAAAGAAAATGATAAGGCTAAAATGTCAAGTCTGTAATAGCTAAGAAACACCACATGTACCATCCAACTTCAGTGCTTAAGCTGGCCAATGGATGGGCACAAGATCAGAACCTCCCTGCCTCTCAGGTCTCCGTAAAATAGGTCAAGTCTGTAATAGCTAAGAAACACCACATGTACCATCCAACTTCAGTGCTTAAGCTGGCCAGTCCAAATGGATGGGCACACGATCGGAACCTCCCTGCCTCTCAGGTCTCTGTAAAATAGGAGGAAAACCCAACCATGATCATACTGGGGAGGCAAAAATGAGGTTGCTAGCAGTTGTGGAGCGTTAAGATGACAGCTGTTGCAGAAAATCCATAGAAAGGAAGGATCTCGTCTCTTGCGTAGTGTACAGAAATGAAGGTTTAAGACTCAAAATGAAAAAAGACAGGAACATGAGGAATAAGGAAACTGCCTGCATTCAGCAACACTTATTCTGGGTGTTGACTGTGTCAGGGCACCAAGGGAACAATAGAAATATATGGTGCCTTAAAAACTGCACAGGAAGAAGCACAGTGAAGTTTTAGTCTACCGCCTGACGCCGGAGATAATGCTGTTACCAAGCACGTACCAGGATACCAAGCGAAGCTTACATCAGCACCCTGAATGCTGGTACTTCTTCCCTTTCTCAACATATGCTTTGTGGCAGCAACACTGCTTTTTGGGTAAAAATGCACTTTTTGGGTGCGCAGTGATTTAAGCTGTCCCCAAGCAACACTGGCTCTGTAATTCCCAATGCACATTAAACAACCCTGACCCAACGCCAACAGAGATGAAGGCAAGGGATAAGGTGATGAGTTTTATGTCAATTTGGCTAGTTCTGTCCTATGTGTGTCTTTTATCATCTCTGCTCTTGGTGCTGCTTCGAAGAAAGGTTAGGCCGCTTTACCGTGTATGCTTCTTCCTGGCTAACCTATACCAGATGTATAACGCCCTCGCTGCTGAATCCGGCCAAGAGACTCCTTTGGGAACTGTACGCGCTGACTCCAGGGGTCATCTGACTCCTCGACTGGCCCATCACCAGCACACCCTCTCTCTGTTTCTCCTCCAGTGAGCGCATGCTGCTTTTGAGCTCCTCTTTAAAAACAGGTCCACCAAAAAGGCTGGAGCACAATCCTAATAACTGTCTTCGAAACAGTGATTGAATGCTCTGTGCAATTAAGTTCTTTCTGAAACGCTGCCTGCTATTTCCTATCCCTTTAATAATTTCCTCTTTTTTCTTAGGTACCAACATGTTTTTCAAACTGCTACCTGCGTGAGGTATCTTTCACAAAGCCCATCTGTTAATTCTCTGCTAGCAAATTCCTTAAATTAAAGTATCAAAGAGGAAGGAAAGTGGATGCTTCCTAGGCATGCTAATAAAAGCAGTAGGAAGAGAACAGTATGGCTCTCAGGAGGCATGGCGTGCAAATCCAGAAGCGTTATTAAACTCCATACCTTGACTTTAACACAGGCACTTAAAAGTACCATCTCTGGCCAGTGCTGCGATAGGGCTGAAGTCACACAGGGCTGGGACGTCACTGCTGACAGTTACCTGTCCCCGCCAGTGTCTCTAACTTTCTTTTCAGTTTGAAAGTACTAGGCTGCATCTGATCTACCCCAGTAACCAGTGTTCCCTCTATTTAGGTGTCCAGACCTTTGCCAAGCCCATTATTAAGTGATGAGGTCTCCCACCATGTCCCCAGGGAGATTATCCCACAGCCTACCAGACCACATCGTTAGGAAAACGTTCCAGATAGCCAACCTAAATTGTGTTTAATTCAATCCCATTACTCCCAGCTGTACCATTTGGACCACCCTCAATATGCCCATATTCTTCTGCAGGAGGAAAGGGATGAGAGCTGGTTTGAGTTACTTTTGCCTATCATTTGTGGTGGCTGTTTTCCTGCCATCCTCCTTGCGTGGGGCTGGAGCTCATTTTATGAAAGGAGGTCAGTGCAGCACTGGCTCAAAGAGCTCTTGTACCCCGAGCCGCCCGGGCAGCGCGGCCAGGACTCACAGCAGAGCAGGGAGCACACAGCCAGTTCTACAGCAAAGTCAACTGTGGGATTTGCCTGGGGCTGTGTAGGATGATTCAGTGATATTTCTACCTTTGATGAATCCTGGCTGATGCTTTGGAATAAGGGACTGCTGTAGTTTTATTTTTTTCATGTTTCTGGGAAGGTGTATGCAGCTTCGCTGAGGAGGTTTCTAGCGTGTAACTCCCAGACTGGGGTCAACAGCCAGCTGCTACCGCTGACGTCTGCCGCAGTGCGATCGGCTTGCAACAAAAGGTGGCTCCAACCCAAGGGAACTAGGTTTTGGTTTTTTTTCTAACCTGGCCATGGAGGCTCGAGTTTGAAGAAGGAAAAGTTACCAAACAGAAGAACACAGCCAAAGTCTTGATGAAAGGAGGAATATGGAAACAGACTTGCAGGCCCACACCAAAAGCTTGGCACAAGATACAGGAAGCCTTGGGCAGGGGAAAGGAAGTCATGGCATGCTTTCACAGCAAAAAAGAGAGGGCCCAGTTTACTATGGGACCAGCCAAGGTCAGAAGAGACATGCTGGGCTGGAAAGACTCCACAGTTCAGGAAGTAAGTCATGAACTTTGCAGACAGATCCCAGACCACCGAGGAGAACCTGACCCCCAGCCCAAAGAAATTCCAGAATGGTTAGGAAACTGAGGCAGGGAAATGAACTGAGGCCTTATTGTTTCTTCTTGCTCAGCATAATGGTGTATTCATAATCTACCTGAATGTGTCTTTGCTAACGTCAATCATACGTTTCTGAACAGTTTAACTAGAGGGCCCACAGACTCATTAAGAAGTGGGTTTCAGCTTTGGAGAGGTGAGCAGTAGACTCTACAAGAATAGGCAAATGAACCACGGGGTACAGCTCTGTCACTCTCCCTGCAAATATGGCTACCGACCCTGGAAAATATTCAGACAAAGATGACAAGGACAATCAAGAAGAAAGAATGGTTTCCATACTAAAGTCATCCACACTAGGATCTGCACCCTGGAAGAGACTATTGAACCAGATGTGGGAGAGGTCAAAGGGTGGTATTCCTGTTTAATGTAATCTACTGCAGAACTCATATATATATATTCCTATTTCCTAAAATATTAGCTAAATCTACACCCTGTCTCCTCATACTTCACGCTGCAGGTTAACAACCAGCTCTCCAGGTGATTGGAGAGCATTGGAACTGGCTGCCCAGGGAGGTGGTGGAGTCACCATCCCTGGAGGGATTTAAAAGACGTGTAGATGTGGCGCTCAGGGACGCGGTTTAGCGGTGGACTTGGCAGTGCTGGGTTTACGGTTGGACTCAACCATCTTAAAGGCCTTTTCCAAACAAAATGATCCTGTGATTCTATGCTCAGGGAGGACACAGATGGAGCATCATGAATAGTACACATCTTCAGTGACAGGGGGGCAATGAACTCTGCAAGGGCCATTGGCGTGATGGACAAAGCCACGAGCAGGCTCAGACTCTGGTAAAGAGGGACCAAGACCACAGCGCACAAAACACTCACTGGGTGTTCCCCACAGCATCCAAGACTTGCAACTGCAAGATCAATACTTCGTTTTCACGAGTCTTTTTCACTTTTCGTTTCAATTTAAAGGAAAATTTGCCACATGCACAGCTGACAATAGGTTATGCTACATGATGCTAAGCGCAAACCCTGCCCTGTGTCAGGACACGTACAATTGGGAATCCACCCATGAAGACAAAGCGAGCAAACAAATCCCAATCTGACTAAATAACTTCACATGGAGCCTGCAGAGGCACTCACTTTTGTCCTCAGTCCACACCCTAGAGCAGGGATCTGCCAAACCCCAACTATAAATATTCATTAAAAGCCTTCTGCTTGGGATGCAGTCACCGAGACAGCCATTTCCTGCCCATTATCTCTCAGGGCAGGAAATCAGCAGTTCCACTCAGGCAGTTACCACCGAGCCCTCGCCACGCACGCTCCCACCGCACGGCTGAAGGAGTTGTAACCACTCTGAAGCCCCAAAATAGCATTTCACAGCAGTAAAGCAGATCGGAACGTAGCTGCCCTGGCACTTAGTACTGAGCACGGCAGCTCCGAGTACCTAGTGGAGCAAGGTGAAGGGGAGCACGCTGGCAGCGTGGGTTGGCAGCGTCTACGAAGAGAAGGATGCCTGTGCGATCAATAACTTGCCTGCATCACCCTGACACTGACAAAGATTACGAGTCAAAATAACGGCTCCTTCTGCTGAGGACAACTTCAGGCTGATCTAATTGTGGTCTCTGGGAAAAGACTGTCTCAGCACCCAATCTTGTTCCTTATAACAACAACAACAGAGCTTTTCTGCCAACTTCAGAGGAGCAAGTCCCTGAGCTATTCTTATGCCAAGAAGCTGTACTTTGCATGAAAAACAAATCCTAGTATTACAGGGCACCACACTGTAGAACTGCCACTGTTCATGGGCACTTCATGAAGAAGTAGGGATAAGATCTCACAGAAATTCTGAAAATGATTACAGACAGCACTGTAAGGACAGCTCCTCTACTTACCTTTGGTTTCCAGCCTCTGATCGCTTCCAATCAAACAGTCTTTGATGTCTGCTCCCTTGTCTATCACGGCGTTATGACAAATGACACTGCCCTGAAGACAGCACCTACAACACAAACACAAAGTAAAGTGAGGAAGTAATCTAAAATGCCAGGTACAAAGCAAAAGTATCCACTGGACTATGTGATGAGTCTGGGACATGATCCTGTAAGCAAGCTCAGTTCTTTTCTCAAAAACTCCACTATTCTTCTCCTGATCCTCACACCCACTTGCTGGAAAAACGGAAATGCCAGCTGTCAGAATGGGTTTGCGAAATAGGGTTTCCAGTTTTACCTCCTGTTAGAACAGCTTTCTTCTACATTTCCTTAACGGAGTAAATACTGCCAGAGGATTTCACAGACAGGACTTGGGACCTGGGACTTGGGACCTGGATCAAGGCTTGTGTTTTCCATGGTCAGTCTAGGTAACTGCAGGGGTGACCCCTCTGCTCAGCTCCCCAGTCAAAAAGAGGAGCAGCAGCCCAGTCCTTCACTGTGCATTTTGCTGACAAGTTTCACACATTCCAGCCTGTTGGGTGCTAAGAAAGGGTGGTGAAGAAGGGGCAGATCAACCCTCAGCTGGTTGGCTTTGTTCATGCTACATTCAAGCACCCAAACACGATCACTCTGCAGTGCCAAACCAATGAAACCCACGCTGGACCTGCTCTACCTGCCTTGGATATCTTCACACTCACATAGCCTTTGACACCACGAAGCCTGAAATGCTACACAGGATGGAACTTTAGCAAAGGTCACCTTCTTACAAAATATATTTGAATTGTGATAACCAGCTTTCAAATCTGCTGATCTGATCGTCCAGACAGGAAAGAAGTTGAGAGTCCAGGTGCTGGCTTCATAACTCCTCTGTTGGGAGATGCTGAGTGAGTTACTGCATGGTCTGAAATGCTGTTCGCTTGGCATCATGAGTAGTGTTAACTGGTATTAAATGTAATTTCTGTCAAAGCTACAGAAGAAAATAGCTAAAATAGAAAGAAAGAAGAAAATAGCTAAAATGCAAATGATTTGTTTCCTTATTTTCACATGTGCAAACATGGGTAGAAGTTATTGAGGGACAGAAAATTTGAAGGCACCCGGCTACGAAGTGTCTAAAACCAGCAAGTCTAACACACAGCAAAACCAGCTGATTGGGAAGGAAAACGTAAGTGGGATATATAACCCCAGAGAGATGCCAGTAATCTGCTCCCCCACATTAATCCTACTGTAAACCATGGCATCTCCTCCCCAGTATTTCTGCTCATATTAATTACAATTGTGGATATTCTTGCTATCCTCAGTCGAGCAGCTGATCTCTGTCTGAAGTTTTTGGCTTCAGTGACTTTCTGCATGGCGAGTTCCACAGTTCCATGACCTGCAGCTATTCCCCACCTTGGTCACAGGCATCACCACTACTGACTGCACCAGTGGAACAGAGCTGCACCACACCGTCAGGCTGGCTCGGGGCCAGAACTGCTGCCCTGGAGTCTGAACTAACAGCACAGAGGGGTTTGGGTATCGGGTCAAAGCCCTGAACTCCAATTCTGCACTGAATGGAGAGCTGGTCGGCTGTGGTCCTCAGGAGAAGAGAGAAACGTCAATCCTCGCTCCAGAGCGCCAATCCCAATTACTTCCTACTATTTTCCTGTTCGCACATCGCTATTATCAAGTATACAGAATTTGCCATTAAACATACTAAAACTCTGTTGCTTGTGTGAGTCAGAGCAGAAACCATCTGCCCCACAAACCCAGCATTAATTCTGCAGGAGTAATAGCAATAAAACGGGACCTCAGCCGCAGCGGTTAGCAGTTACGACCCCCCTTGAACAGACTGTCCCTTCTGGACAATTATTCTTTTAACTTGCTTAGACTCCCCCCTCCCCTGACCTATAAGGAGGCAATATGAGCAATTACGCCGCAAGTAACCAGCTCAGGTTGCCTTGGCAAGGTTTTTACTAACATGTTAATAAGATAAAAAGCGGCAAAGATACACAGCAGACCCTCGCCTGCCTTTGCTCTCACACTGTCACCATCTGCTTCCTTTCCAATAGCTCCGTGTGCCCGCGCAGCAGCTCGGGCCATCGTCTTGCGCAACAGCGGTCGCGGAGAGCAAGAGCGCTTGGCCTTTGCAGCCGGGCTGGGGAACGAATCGGAGGAGGGAGGACTGCCCACCACTGCCCATCCTGACTTGGCTTTCCATAGGACCAGTGAATGTGACGGGAGAGGTTGCTCATTTCCCACTGAAATGGCTCCCATCCAAAACGCACACTCCAAAATACCTCCTCCTCCGTCGCTTCGAGCCAGTCAGATCAGGGCTTTTCCCTGCAAACTTTCAGGTTCCCACCATCCATCACTTCTCCTGAGCATGAGAGCAGCCACGGGTACGCTACACCTCTTGGCATTACCCTCACGCAGGAGGAGATTTCCCAGCAGAGCGGGGATTTCAGCTGCCGCTCTGGAGTTCAGGCTGGAGAACCCTGGATGTGTGTTCAGAGCCTGCTCGGGGATAGTTTTTCAGCTCCAGGAGAAAGAACAGCATTGTAACCAAGAAACTGCTGATGACATGAACATCAAAGATAAGGGGGGTTCCTGCCAAACCATTTGTTGGGAGGGACAGGCCAGGGAACCAAGATGAACTTGTCTGTGCCAGGTGCTCGCAAACCAACCCGTCCCCAGCGCCAGGGTAAAACAAAACCCGAGGACTCCGCCACCCCAAGAGCTTCTTAAAACTTATAAACCCGACCAACTCCAGAAGTTTTAAAACCATACTCAACGCTCAGGTTACCCCAATCATACAAACCGAGCAGCGAATCCGGCTTTTATTGCTCAAGTGGAACAAAACTTCAAGAGATAAAAACACAATTTGTGGGTGTTCCCTTCACCCGCTGACAGATGTAACACAGCCATTTTGAAACCACTTGTAAATGCCTTTATAAAAGGAAAAAAAAGTATGTTATAAAGCCTGCCAAGAGAAGTATTCTGAGTGTTTATTTAATTTTTACTATTTTTTTAAGTTGAAGAGTAAGGAATAAACTTTTATTCTCTTTCAGGGTAAATACCACATCTCGGGGCACTCTGCTGTATCCTCGGCCGAACAGCCACCGCGGGTCCTGCCTTATTAACAATTAGGTGCTATCACTGCTCAAAGGTGCTCCGATAGCATCCACCTCCAGCGACACCGGTGTGCGTGCACACATGCGATGTTCTGCTTTATAATGCAAACCACATTTTTTTTCCACCCACCGCCCCCCACCCCCCCGAAAACGTAGTATATTTTTAAACCTTTCAGTACGGTGAAAACGGATATCTTCTGACCTTAAAATCCAAAGAGCATGTTCAAACCCACAAGAGGAACTAATTTGGGGCATTTGATTTATGGCTAAAATTTCAATTTGAATTTGTTTTAAGTGTAAGCACTCACTGAAAGTCTGGCAGCTGGGTGTTTTTCAGAAAATAAATAAAAATATTCAGCGTGCGTCTGCATTCTGGAGAGAGCATTTTACAAGCCCAGTCCTGTAGCGGGAACAGATGTAGCTAAGGCATTACATTCGCTCTACAGGTACAGCGCGCGAATGGAAGCACACGAGAGCACGCCTGCGTGTACATCCGTGTCCGTGCACACGTGTACGCTACGCGCCCGTCTCTCAGAGACAGAGAGGCTGACTTTGGGGTGGGTTGTGGGGTTGTTTTTTTTTTTTTTGAATGCGAGAGAACAAGAGCAAAAGGAGTAGTGGCCAAGGAGGCATGGGGGGATTACAAGGATTTAGGTCTTTAAACTGCAGACCACCTAACAAGATCACTCTGAAATGCCACTAATTTCAGTTAAGGCCACAGACCTCCCTTCCTCTGCCCTCCCTCTCTCCCCCATTGTAAACAACTAATCCCAGCAGAAAACAACAGAGAGCAAAATGTACACACATTCTGCAACATTCCAGGTCCTTCTTTATCTTTTATTTATTTTTCTAAAAGGTCAGCCTATGTATGGAGGGAGGGGGGAGGGGAAGAAAGCCAAAAAACCTCAAGTCCATCTCTTGTGTGGGCTCGAAGGAAGCTGGGAGAAAGCAAAGTCCAAGAGCGTACAATATGGAGCTTTTATAGCACAGCAATTCCTGGACTCGGCTTACTTTCCCCTCCCTCTATTTGTGGCAAAGTCACATAGCTTTAAACCAAAGGACAGGGTGGTCGATTACATCTGAAAGAAATGTAAAGAATCGAGAAAGAATTCCATCTCCTGTCAAAATTATAAATAAGGAAGTATTAGTCCCAGAGACAGGCTGATTTACACAGCCCTGGAACTGCTGACTTTCAGCCGGAGTATCAGTCTATAAATCAACCCCTTAAATCAAGCGTGTCAATCGCTGCAGCACTGCGATACTTAGGAAAAGCAAGGCAGCTGCCACTGGAAGCAGGAAGACTGCCAGGGGACTGAGGTGCCGTACCTTTCTTAATTTTCTAAAGTGTAAATCTGAGATCAAACATCCTTTTGGGGGAACAGGAAATCAAAATACGCGGCGCTCAGCACACCGGGAGCAGGCCGCGGGAGTCCAAGACACAACCCCCTAATTACAGGCTACCCACTGATTATTTAGGACTCTGTGATTAAAGTGATGAACGCTCCTGGGAGAAAGGGGCTTAAGTAACTGAGGTCAAGACCTCAACTGCAGCTCTCGCCCTGGTTGTGCAAGCTTAGGAAGGTATGAATGTCACAGGTCTGCCTTACAGCAAACCTCCTGAAACGCCAGTGGAAGTTATCCAGGTCTGCTGGTTTAATCCAATTGTGCCAAAACCCCGACATAATCTCTGTTGGGCAGCGAAGCAAATGAGGTGTCTAAAATGCAACGCTTACAACTATACGCTCAGGAGGAAGAAAGAGCCTGGAGCACAAAGCTTAGGACAGCCCGTCGGTAACGCTCTGCCATGCCAAGAGTCGGGTCTCTTGCTCCTCCAGATGAGCTACAAAACGAAGAGACTAATTCGGGAGTTGAAAGCAAAGGGTGACGTGCCTCGGCAGCTACTTTGCTGACGGAGGGGTAACAGCTGTGGATTCCCCTGGGAGCAACATCCCATTCTGCCC